CTATCCATTAGGTTATCAAATATAAAAGAACTTTGTCAGAATATAAGCTAACCTGTTTCCGGTCCAGTTGTGAAAATACTGCAAGATAGGCAAAAAGAAATTAAGTTACATATGGCTTGAGTAAATCCAAACTACAAGGAAAAAAACTTAAAACTCCAATAATTGATCTCACAGATAAACAAACCTCATGGCCAATAACTCCCAGAATTGCAGCATAATCCGCATCTGATGCAGTTTCTGGGGACGCCAAAACAAGCTTAGAATTGAAAATCTGTAGAAAAGCAGCCAATAGACAATTTTATGATGACAGCTTGATAAGAAGACTCAATATTGTTGATTGGACATGTCAAAGAAGCATACATTCAAACTTTTGTTCTCCATGGCTCCCCTGACAATCAACCAAGACAGAAACATCAATAGTCAAATCATAAAAAAGAAAAAAAAAAATTGTAACTAGGTTTAAAAAAGTGCATAACACGTATAGTACCATAACTTGATCTTATTCACAAGAGATATCAACTCACATGTTAAAATCGGGAACGGCAACTATATTGAAGAGATCCAGGTCATACTCAAGACCAAACACCTGTTTGTAGCAATATATAACAGTACTCACGACTTTAGAACCAATAAAACAAAATTTAAATAGAGACCGCAAGAAAAAAAAAAGTGAAAATTTAAACAAAATTTACATCTTCATCCCACTTCATGGCAGCCTTCAGCGAATACATGGCATGAGCCGTCTTGGGCAGATCTTGTGCTGGTGTCCAGATCCTAAGAGACACTTGCCTACCCGAACGGGTGACAAAAACATCATTTCTGCTTTCTAACCGTCCAGCAACCAAAGCAAACAAGTAGCAAGGTTTCTTGAAGGGGTCCTCCCACAAGGCATAATGCCTACCTCCCTGCGGCGAAACAAAAGATAGCAAGTAAGAATGATTTGTAACTCAACCTTTCCGACCTTCTCTCTTCCCCAAAAAAGGTTAAAATTTTTTATATTTGCTCCTGTACACTAAGTACAAATATCACCTCAAGATCTCCTTGTTCTATGAGATTTCCATTTGACAACAGTACTGGGTATAATGACTTATCAGCTTCAATGTGACATGTGTATTTTGCCATAATATCAGGGCGATCCTGTTTACAAATCAAACACAGAAAATTTGAACATAAGATTATATCTTCAAGCAAGGATCATAAATTCAATAAACTATTCAAGATCAACCTGATAAAACGTAATTTTGCGGAAACCTTCTGCTTCACATTGTGTGCAGAAATTCCCGGAGGATCTATAAAGCCCCTATAGCAAGAAAATAAAATTTAAAACAAGGTATGATAGCAGAAATAGGCATAATCAACTAGGAAAAAAGTAAAGAGGCAAGTAAGGAATTTTTCTTTTTTACCTCTAATGATGTGTTCTTCTGAGGGTATATCTCAGTAATAATTTCCAAGGCAAAAGTACCACTTGGTGGTGATGAGAGTGTCAAATGGCGCGAGTCTAATTGGTAATCTTCCTCCTAGAAGGAATAAAATATAGCAGACAAGTTACAGATGTGGCATATAAAACACCCATTCTCATCCTAGCATCACCTCTCACTCAAAAGAAAAAGAAGTAAAAAGAAATTCATGATTCTGAAAGCAGAGTGCAATGTATATCTAAGTTTTGTAGCTATTACGATAGCAAAGTGCAGCAGGAGTCACTGCTTTTTAACTAGTTATTTTGACAACTGACCTTCATAAACACAAGGTAAAATACACCAACATACCTTTAGTTCCTTCCCATCAACCTTGATAGATATTAGCTTCAGATCTTGCCCATCCAAAACCAGTGGTGAAGAAGAGCCTGATCCATGATAGAAGATTCATTAGAAATTAAATAAAGCAATAGAAAATATTTAAAAATCAGATTTGCATTTTGGGAAAAAAAAATCACTTGGTGGGGGGGGGGAGAAAGAGAGAGAGAGAGAGAGAGAGAGAAAAAAAAGATTATGATCTATGTAACTTATGACTCAGATATCCCCTACAAATTAAATATAAAAACATTTACCACAAACATTGTTGTTTACAACTAAAAGAAAAGAATAAGAATAACATTACCTTCATCACGGGGGAAGACAGATATTTTTGAACTAACAATTGTTTTCTCCTCACCTAGGGAAAATTTCAGATCCACCTGAATCACAACCCCATTAGTGCACATGATTCATGCAAAGGCCACAAGAAAAGTTTAAAAAGACCTAATATGTCCTAATTCAAGTAACTGATACCATACCGTATCAAAGTAGTAATCAGGCAACTTGTAATTCTTCAAAAAGATCTCTTTCCGTGCATCCATTTTGGATTCTTCGGTTTGTTTTATTAAAGTGCTTGTAGCAAGTGAACAAATAAGCTTCTGGCTTGTGTGCTTAGCCCTCTGAAACAAGGTTGAAGACACATAAGCAATAACTCAAAACTACATATCTCTTTCTGCTGTGAACATGAGATAACACATTGTAGTTTATGCATAGGATGTGAAAGCCAAAACTTCTGCCAATATATCATATACCAATGCAAAATGCAATGTAGTGTAAATAATTAAAATATTTATATAATTATTATTCTTTAATAGTTATAATTTCTTTCACTTATTTATTGTTTCAAAAAAAGTTCTTTCACTTATTAGGTAGATGATAATTTATAGGATGTAGAAGCTTTGGATTTCTTTTTTATCCTTGGAAAATCTTCCTTATTAGTCAAAAGTAGTGCCTATTTAAAGCCCATTAACTATCAAGATGATAAAATGATGAATTAACAATTCACTCCGTCATGGTTGTACCTCTTGTTATCATTCTCTGTGTTCTTTTTTAGTTATGTTCCTGTCTAACATATAACGTTCCTTGTATCTCTCCTTATATTTCTTCAACTTGATCCCTATTTCCTCTGGTCTACCTCTATTCTTCTGTTCTCTCACCTCTATCCCTCTAATAACTATTCCTGGACGTTCCAAGACTACTTGACCACTTATCAAGACAGAGATAAAAGGATACATAAAAACCTTACCGATATAGGGTGATATGGAAACTGGAAATCTCTTTGATAAGCAACCTGGATAAAACAATTGATGGTAAGAACATGGAAGAATCCTACCAAGAGTTTCATTAGAGTCCTACTAAGAATGTAGTTCTTGAAATGCAGTATAATGACACTTCAAATCAATAACAGATTCTACAACCCAGAGCATTAAAATAGAAATGAAGCCCATTATGTTATAGAGTCCAAGGCATATAAAGAACAAACCTTTACATGAAAACGCTTATATTGGAAGAGATTTCTTGATGAATTCCAAAAGGGACTAAAATGGCTTCTAGCTGGAAGCTGCAAATTTAATAGATAGAAAAAAATAAATAAATAACTTAGTGCACCAAATAAAAATAGGAATTTCATAATAACCAATCAAAGTATTAAATGCAAGAGTGTGTATGCACAGGTGTATGCATGCCTATCTAAATCTGCATATGCACTTGAGGAGGCAAAAGCAAATGGGGAATAAAGTATCCTGCAGAATAGTATGTAAAAAAAATTAAACAGCATAGCCATAGTGTAATTTGACAAGACAAAACAAACTCTACAACGGGTTACCAGCATGCTCAAGACAACCTTGGGGTGTTGCAACTTGTTTTAGTTCAATTTTCATATTATTGTAACCAATTCTATTAGTTTTCATATTATTCTTGACATAAAAAACTACAATGTGATTTTTATATTTCAGCTAGGATTTCAATTCTCATTTCTCCCTCAAAGAATTGAACGAGATAGAGGTAGCTCAAACTCAAAAAAACAATCATATTACAATGTTTCGTACTGAAATTAATATAAAAATCAGAGGAGTTAGTTAGCGATTGAATGGAATCATAACAAAACGGAACCCTGCACTCATACAAAGTCCTTTAAAACAAACTAAGAAACTGCTTAGCGGTCGAATGTATTATAAACATTACTAAAAAGGTAAAAGAGACGTTCCTTTTAGCCAGAAAAGATAAAGCATTTCTACAAGCGTATACAATAAAAAGGAGACATATAAATACATTGGTTTATGAAACTAAGAATTGACGTGGACGAGAAAATGAGAAATAGGTAATCACAGGAGCAGAGGAGATCAAACCCAAAAGACTGGTCCTAGCCAAACACGAACTTCTGCAAGGATGAATTAACCGAGCCATCCAACTGAAAATATATGTCCTAACTAAAATAAGCTATTATTTCTCTAATAATTTAATAATCCAAGGGGGTTAAATTTTAATAGAAATAAAGGATACCCAGGCGACCAAACCGATAAAAATAAACCCAAAAACCCTAACCCAGAGACTGGACACCCACAGAAAGAAAACAGAGGAAAACACAGTCCACTCCGGGTACTTATAGAGGATATATGGATAATCCAAAATTATGGACAAGAAAATTCAAAATAAAATATAGATATTGAAAGTCAATAATAAATAATAACAAAAGTTATTTGAACAATTTTGAATAAAAAATGGAAAATTGACAACTGAAATTGTTACCTCGAATGCAGAACCAGATGGAGAGAAAACAGAGATGAAACCTTCGATGAAGCGAAAGATACCTATGCCCTCAGTCCCCACATAAGGAAATTGAAAGGCAAGATATTTCCTTGAAGAATAAATTAATGGTGGATTTTTTGGATCAATGATAATCTACTTCTGCCCTTCAAAAAGATTATAATTGATATCTATCTCCTCCGAAAAACCCTCATCAATTAGCCGGCCCAAATTAAGTGTTGCAAAGAGCTGGTAAAACAGGCCCTCAAGTATTGAATTCTACTGATTTGAAATAGGCCTAATAAATTGTCTTCTACTGTTGTTGGCCCAAAGAATAATTTTAAAAAAGTTACCGTTGATCACTACCTAATTTCACATTAACTTGTAATGTACAAATCTAACTTTTATTGAAAGTTAATTCTCGTGTGGAGTCATAAAGAAACAAAAACCATTTTAGGTTTAAATTGATGAGGTATCGAGAGAGACCAAAACATGCATCGAGATCTATGAATTCTTTTCATTCGTGTAAAAAATAGATTATTCAACATTAGCATAATGAAACTTCTCTAAATTTAAAAACGTGTTGGATGTTCTAAAAAAAATTTTGGGAGCAGTGAGAAATACTATAGAAATTATGTTTCAATAACATATATTATGTAACGAGAAAACTAACAAAAAATAATGAGGATGATATGACTTTATACTATATTATAGAAAGAAAAGAAACTACATTAAAAGAATTATAATATATAAAGTGAGTGATAAATAATGAGAAAGATATTAAACGAATTCTCTAGATAATCATAAACAACTCGATGAGATTTTTACGTTAGGGAACTTACTTCATTGCACATAACGAAAAAGATAAACAATTAATTTGTAGCCCCTCATGTACGGAAAAATATCCATCTAGCTTTCCATCAAACGATCCCCCAACAATAGCTATGAATTCAAATAGTGCATTTAGATTATTCTTCTTAAAATTTTAGTACATTGTTTTTATCTAGTATTGTAAATTAAGTTTTTTTATGTTTTAAATAATTATTAGTTTTTTTTGTATATCTTTTATGTATATTTTTAGTAAATTGATTCTAAAATTTAATACCATAGTTTTTTTAAGAATTTTACACCCATAAGTTTTTGTAACATAACATGTAATATCAATTTCTAAATTCGTTGTTGATAAACTCAGGGTTAAATGCACTTTTCTTTATAAAAGTCGTACTTTAGTTAAGTTTTTATGATCATGTTGCTAACTTGGTCATGAGATGTATTTTCTAGTAGCATGTTTAATCGTTGTTAATAGCTTTCTAATGATCAATTTTTATTAAAGAGTGTTTGTACTAAGTTGACCATTTTATTTTTCTCTATTTTTACTAGCAGTAGAAAGATTGTCTTCTGTTGTTATAAAACACAAGCAAATAATGAATTCCACGAGTTGTACATATATTGTCAGGCATTTATAATCATTTGCAAATGCTTGCATTTTGTTTAACATGATTATATCATAAAAGTTACAAAAAAGTTAAAATAGATAATAACTTTGTATGAATAGGCACATGTGAACTTTGAGAAATCATCCATATGTTTTGAAATAAATATTCTAAATGTCAACAAAGTCATAATTTAACAATTTAATAGATTAAATTGATTTATTAACACTCTAAATATTTGAATCTCTTTGCAATTATAGGTTTATCAAAGCAAATCAAATTTGATAATGGTTTAATTTAATGGCTCGAAAAGTGTAATATAAGTTATAATAATCACGTAAATAAATACTGAATATTAATTTTTTTTAAATAAATTATATTTATTTTTCATGAGTATGAACAAGTATTCTATAATATTATTATCTGTTTTTTTTTTTAATAATTTTTTTAACATAAAATGAAAGTATCAATAAATTTATTTTGTAAAAAATGTTTTAAAAAATTTAAGAAGGATTTGATTAATATTTAATTTAAAAAATTGGGTAATGAGATAAGAACATTGGTTTGGGGGCAATTTAGTACAAGTTTAATTAAAAATGCCACCTCTTAGCATACAAACAAAGTGACACAATATAAACACAATGCCTATACATATAATATTATAAATTGAATTATAGCATAGAGCAAAATTAATATTGATATATATATATATATATATATATACACACACACAGTTTCATGTTTACTAAAAAGAAAGTGTGTGGCTTCCTATGTATGGGCCTCATTATTAGTAATGAGGACTTACCCTTTCCAGGTGTATGGATTCATTTGTATATCATTTTTAGTTTGGTGGGAAATACTTTTTTCTTTTTCCTTTTCCAGAACGTGATTTCCAGTTTTTTAAAATTATTAATATATATACACACACATTACAGAAATTAAACTCAAATAATCAAGATAGAAAATATAATATATATGTATATATATATATATATATACAAGATATTGAGTGTACATGTACTTTAGTTTTTTTGGGATGAAGTGATGGTGTGTGTGTGTATATATATATATATATATATATATTTGGTTTTATCCATGCTGCAGAAAAAGTAGACAATATAAATGTGAAGTTGATTGATAAAACTTATGAGGGTGACAAATTTCTTCTTCTTGGCCCACATGAGTTGCAGGAGATCATTCATTCAAATAAAATCATGACATAGATGTGTGTGTGTGTATGTATATATATATATATATATATATGGATATAGATATAGGACAGCTGTATTGATGCTCTGTGGCGGGTTCCAATCCCAAAAATCTAATACCCCTCACGGATGCCGTTGATTTGATGACTGATCTG